TGCCCCCCACCGTGCCACGCCAGCGCCGGCAGCTGCCACATAGATCTGTACACGTCCTTGCTCTCGTGCAGATCCCAAAGCACCCGATTGCCCAGCTTCCCCTTATAAGTGCGAGCCCCATCCGTGTTGGTGTTCACCCCAGCCTTGCCAAGCTTACGCAGGGAGATAAGGTTGGCCTTCAGGTCGGGGACGAGAAGAACGTCGTGCAGCACCACCGGCTTGCCATCCGCTCCCTTAAACGCAGCTCGTCCCGCACCAGCCACCTTCAACATGTGTCCAGAGGCAGAGCACACCTCATTAATCGGTGCAGCGCGTACGTCGTCCAGCAGGTCCTTGCGCGGCGTCATTGTCCAAGCAGCGCTTGTGTCCAACACCCAATAGTCCAGGGGGTGCAGCTCTGCTCCAACCTTAGCAGATGCGTCTCCTTGCTCCCCCTTGTCTCCCATATGGAAGAATTGGCCCGCGGTGCGCTTCTTCTTCTTCTCCGCACCGCCGTTGCCCTTCGGGTTGTTGTCGGACGAATCAGCGACCATGTTGGCGCCGTTTTTCTGGTTACTCCGCGCGCCGCCATCCTGGTGACGATTCTGGGGGGTCCATCCATCGGGTTTCTTATAGCACAAAAACCAGGGGTGCCCTTCCTTCTTACAATACCAGCAACTCCCTTTCATTTTGCCACCAGCACCCGACTTGCCCCCACGTCCAGATTTCGCACCGCGACCCCAACCGGTACCTCCTTGTTGGTCGTTGGAGTCGTCGTCTTTCTTTGCACCGCGTCCAGCACCACCGAAGCCACGTCCTTTGCCACGTCGGCTCCCTTGCATCCCGTAGCCGCTGCTGCCGTCGTCTCCACCCCTCAGTTGGCGGCGACGGAAGTCCTCCTCCAGAATCTTCGTCCGCACCCACTCGAGCGTCCACAAGCTCTGGTTCTGCGGCAGGCTCAATCCGCTCGTGAATTGAAGCCACGATTCCGGCAGCAGCGAGAGCATCTTCAGGCACTTGATCTGCTCCGGGTAGGTGATTCCCGCGATCGCCAGCTTCGCGTAGAGATCACGCATCTTGTCCAGGATGGGTTGTACCGGCTCTCCCTCGCTTAGGCGCAACGCGGACAGCTCTCTCTCCATCATGAGCGTCGCAGCGACGGAGGTAGGGGCGTGCAGCTCCTTCAACACCGTCCACGCCTTCGGACCGCACTCAACCTCCGGCAGCAGGTGCATGACGTGGTGACGCCGGTTCAGCTCCAAACTCTGCGACATCAAGTAGTAGCCAGCCGAGGCGCGCTCGTCCCAATCTTCCTGAAGGGCGGGGTCACTCGGTCTAGGCTCCTCCCCAATCATTAGTTTCAGCAATCCGATCTGACGGAAATAAAGTTGCATTTTCCAGGCCCAATCATCATAGCCCTCACCATTGAACTTCTCGACGGTGAAGTTTTTCAGCACCTCCTTGATCAGCGAGCCCTGGCTTGTTCGCGCTCCCTTTGGCGCAGAAACACCAGAATCATGGCTGCCGCTACGATCTTGGGCTGAAGATTCACCAGCTACCGCCGAGGTGTTCCCCGCCATAGCTACCTATATCGAGGATCACTATAACGCAGCTCTGATACCAGCTTGTTGGTGTAAGGGCCTAATAAACTCAAGCTATTAAGACTTTATCACACTTAAAACCTCTCCTCGGGGTCACCTCCAAGGGTCCTTGGGTGCCTGGTACAAGACCAGCCCCTATCCTCGGGTCCGAGTTTGTAGAGAGAGGGATCAAGAGGGAATTAGTCAAAACAGCAAGAGTACCTTGAACGTCGCGCAGCGTATCGTGCAGACCGTCGATCGGATTAAGCTGAGAATTTCCTATATCGAAGCTTCCTCCAAGAGCTTTAAAATGAACCAAGTTGCATCGCGAAAAGTTCTGTCACTACGAAGTTATGGCTCGGACAGCGTTTGCCTAGTGTTGGAGTGCTAGCGTACTAGCGTTGACTCTGGTAGCATTCCGCCGTCGCACCGCGTAGAAACGAAATTCCAGGAAGGGAGGAATTCGCTTGAATCAAAATTGACTATATCCAGGTACAAACAGAGAAAGAATAAATAGTTCTAGCTAGCAAAGACCTTGGGAATAAACCTGGGGACAACCAAGGATGATCCCAAATAATTTCAAGCAACAGAAACAACCTCTGGTTCTGTTTTTCCAACCTGGGAAAACAACAACCAGGTTCAGGTCCTAAAAACAGAACCTGTTTTGTCTTTGCCCAACCAGCCAAATGCTGGTTCCGCTGGTTTCCCCTGGCCCTGTAGCATGCAGATATAGACAAACAACATCCAACCTTCACCTAAATTGTACCCCTATAGTGGCTGCCCTGCTACACTATAGTCAACCAAACAAAACAGTACAATTTCAACTTGGATAGAACTGAATCTGCGCAATCAAGTAAGCCGAACCGCAAAGCTTCCATCTTGGGTTCCTTTGCGAGCTCGTCCTTTCTGCTTGTACTGTTCATAGCGCGTACAATGTTATGCCAAAGCGAACAATGCGTGAGTACCTGCAAATGCTTCAAGCAAAAATTGCGAAAGCAAACAAACACACGAACATACTATTCACACACAAATGCATTCGCACACGCATACTCGTACAAACAGACGGCAGGATGTCGTGCAATGTGAATTTGCACCCAACATGTAGAAGCCCCAGTTCCCACCCAACACTCACCACATGCTCGAGCCACGCCATCTGGTACAGGTTCACCGTTACGCCCCTATTGACCCTCCTTAGCTAGAAGGCTATCACGGCGCAAGTAGTGAACGCCCCGGACGCAAAGATCATGCCACTCTTGCTCTCGCTCCATGTTGACAGCGTGAGGTTATCTGTACACACCATAGACAAGCGGCATACCCTGTTATCGCTACTCCAAGCATCCTCCTTGCATCACGTTGCACACTACCTACCGTTCTCATCGTCCAGGAGGCGATATCGCATGCGAACCTCCGCGGCTTCTCTCCGCTCCTTACGTGCCCACGGGCTGCGTGCATCCCGTTCGTCGCGCCATAGTCTTATGCGCGGCAACGCAATGTCACGTACGTGCCCCGTCACCTCTGTCTTCCACTAGCTGAGCGACTTGTTCAAGTCACCCCGTCGCGTCTTGCAGGCTGCTAGGGCGACACTTGCATAACTAAAAGTCAGACGGCGGATAACCGCGCAAACTCTAAGCGTCTTGTCTTCGGTGCTGGGATAAAACGTCATGTAATCATTCGCCTGCTCGATGAACAGGTACTCTCTCACATGGTCGCAAGATTTCTGCCCAAGTAGTGTATCGCAAGGTTAGGGAGAAACCCGGTCACGACACCAACACAACCGCTATCGCATCATACAGATCCAGAACCTGTGCAACCAGGAAACTCAAGAACGCCACGCTGGACACTCACCTTCCACGGCTTGTCCGCGGGCAAGAAATCGAACGCCTCCTGAAGCAGGGGTGAGCTCGAGACCGTCAAGTGCCGCCTCTTGCATGTAGGCGCCTTCACTGTCTCCTCCTCCTCCTCCTCCTCCTCGTCGTCGACATCCTCATACGAAGACTCGTGGATGGAGTCCGACGTTACTCTCCTTCACTTGCTCTTCCGCGCCTCCTTGCGTGCCCGTTCTTCGCGCAAACCTATCTGTCTCTTGTTGGCCCGTTTTGGATCATGGGCCGCTAGCAGCTGAGCCTCTAGGCGCGCAATCTTGCAGTCACTCTCCTCGCTCGCTGTCTTTATCTCCTCGAGCTCGTGACGGCTTATGACAACGTTGTCCTCGGCCAACGTTGCCGCCAGCCGTGAACCAGACGCCGGTTCCGCAGCGCCACTAGGCAACGCGACAAAAGGATCGTTCGGACCCGGTGCGGTGCCTTTGCACCCGTGTCTTTCGCTGTCCCAGGTGTGTCGCCCATAACAGAAGCAACAGGCTTTGATCGGACCGGAGCTGCCTCCCCCTCGCCATGGCTTCCTTCGTCGCCTGCGCCTACGCTAGACGCCGCAGCTGCAATCGGCGTGACTTGAGATGCCCCCTGAGCCACAGTATCCACGCCTGTGCGAACATTAGAAACAGTAAGCCAACTCAAGCTACTCTATGAGCGCCTTAACACACAATTCAGAGGCGGCAAAATGAAAATACCAGCACGTCTACATGAACTGGAACCCCATGACACAATACCTTGTATAGGAATACACTTCTGCTTCGCCACTCTAGAGCGCTTATACTGCCCACCACCCCCGCGCACGATTGTCTCTCCGCGTGGGCGTTAACGCCCGAGGTGGTACGCATTTCGAAGGTATGCAGGGGTTTGCCTTGGCCTGTGCGATCGACCAGAAGGCAGTTCCTCCGAAGTCCCCATGGGAGTCTCCATTGCGCAATGGCAAAGAGAACCACCTCTCAATAACCGCACACCTTTGTGCAAAAGTATGCACAATCATACAACGCATTCTGTGACGCTCGAGGAATAGATGGATCCTTCGATCGTTCCAGCGCCACGGTGGGTGCGGGTGGACGCAATCACAACAGCCAATCATGCAGGGCCACGCGTGCATCCTAAGATTCCCCTATCTCAACCGAAGCCCATTTTGAATGTATGGCACTATAGAGTCCTCACCAAACAAGCTGAAGTGCAAAATCCGTACACCATATAGTACTAGGCATTGAACGTAACAAAGTAATCAATGTTGTCCGATCCGAAAATACTACCCAAGTCCATTCTACCACTTTGAATAGCCTAGCCACCAAAGCCTCGCATCCATGGCCCAAACCCTCTGCTCACACACTTCACCCCATAGTAATACCATCAGGGTCAACATAAAAAATTGCACCCTCAAAGGCATCCCCCAGGGCCACCCCCGTGTTTATTCCCTGGACCGCCTCATCTCCCACCATTGCCGCCGCCTCCTCGTTTAGATCGTGAGGTGTTCCCCGCCCAGCATTTATGTCACTAATGGGCATACAGTCGGTTTCCATGGCATGCCCATCCGCATCCGCATCCTGTCCTGCACAACCTACACATCATCCTTATCATTATCCTGAGATTCGGAATGCGCATCCCCATCCCCTCCTGTATCCTCCTCCGGACAGTCCGCTAATGCCGTCTCCCACTCTGTCCATCTGAACCATTGGCGGCCCTTGACGAGATGGCGAACGGCGGACAATGTGCACCCCTGCAGCATACACTTCTCTGGGGCCGACAGCTCCACCGTTCCAGCCACCCTCTTCCCTGCCTTCACAACGTACACCGCTGCAGCATACGCCGTTGCAGCCTCCAGCTCTTTATTGTATACCCCCAGCCTCATCTGGGTGCGCTTCGCCTTATCTGCCTCCAGGAAAAGGATCGTGGCGCTCCATTTCCCGCGCTTCTCCTTCCGCACTCCCTTGTACTGCGATGTCGCCGTTTGGCGCTTACCCCTGCGCTCCCCGGATGGTACGTCCGCTTCTGCATCACTCACCGACGGAGTCGTCAGCCGGCGTTTCCTCGCTGCCGGCATCGCCAACTTCACCGGCCCTGTCGCAGACGAAGGTACGTGTGTCGGATCTGCCTGTTTCGTGTAATCTGCGCATCCTGGTGGGCCACTCATCGACCACTTTGCTGTCGACGGGGAGGGTAAGGCGCAGGGACTCACCCTGATGAACCACCCCAAGCTCGAACGTCTCATGGACTGCACAGGCTGTCTCCATCCCCGCATCCGAATCGCCCTTGGACCCCGGACTGTCGGAAGCACTCGGCCGCACACCCGCGGTTGGCTTTGGAGTCGACGGAGCAGTGGATATGCTGCTCCCATGCGCAGGCAACCCTCCTTGAAGGCTTTGCGTCTGCAGCACGTGCGCTGCGGCTGCGAGGAGCTGGTCATCACTGTAGCCCATAACGGATCCAAGGGCGCTGAATGCTGCTTTCCAAATTACTATGTCCCTCTTCAAGCCGTACAGCTCTACTTGGTACATTGTCAGCTTCGTGTTGACATCCTCCCGTCTTGAGTCAAGCATGGCCCCATCTACCGTCACTTTTGGCTGGGGTTGCTTCGGTACGACCAACCCCTGTTTCACGAGTGCGGGTACAAGCTCATGGTCTGCATGCATGCATATATCCCCACGCATGCCACGGCGGAACTCCAGAGCACTTACCCCCTCCAAATACAGAAACAGCTTGACATTCCTGAAATCGGTATCCACCAGGACCTTCAGGTAGTGGCATACAAATACGTCGCAATCATACTCATTGTCCTGCCGCTTTAACTGATGCTTCTGCACGCCCAGACGGACACTGAGAGTCATTAAACATGATCATGAAGCGCAACGTACCCTCAAACAGAGCTTCGCCCATGCAGTGACGTATTGCCTACATTGAAGGTAAATGGTTTGGCATCCTTCAAGACGGCAACGAGAGTGGTCGGGTCACACTCTGGGTGGAGCACCCTGGCGGTGAGTTCCAGCAAACTGTATGGCATTGGCAACATAGCGCGCGTGACGAGACATTAGCAACATCCCCATCATCGCCAGGAGAAAATCCCTACCGCCCATGCACACTCACCGTTTGACGCCATCGAACACGGTTGGATCGTCGTAGTGTGTGCCGTAACTGTCGAAAAGAATCAGCTCGAGTGGATGATCCGCATCTACCGACGTGGAGGCCAGGAGTTTCTTTGGCGAGGGGACGACCATGAGCGAATAGTGAGCACTGCCACGTGGCGCCCAATAAGTGTACTTGTGTCCAACAGAAAGGAGTAAAGCAGTACAACAGCCAGAGGATCACATGGTGAAGACTTACTTCTTGAATACCGGAATCGCCAGATAGTCCACGTCGAACACCCTGGCTGATTTGCCCATTGAATACGGCTTGTTGAAGTCCGACACATGCGCGAAGGCCTTGCTGTCGATTGCCACCCATGTTGTGCCGTTGGGCGTTGTGGGGCGCCGAATGCTCAGCAACCTGCACGCAGTCTCACAGCACATGATTAGGGTTGAACTAGATCATTCGTACATATTTAATAGTACCGGGTAGCCAGACGATGGCCATGATGACTCACACATTGTGAAAGTTCACGATGGCGTCGGTGAGGCACTGACCATCTACAATAGTAACCACGTCTGACGCCTCGAGGAAACAGCCGGCGCCATCGGCGTTGAACAGCGTCAGAGCCTTGAACTTCTCGGGCTGCTTCGATTCGCAAAGCCGGAACACAAAGTCTTGTGGCTCAGGAACCTCCGCCTCCTGCTCCAACTTGGTCGAATATTGCGGCGCAAGTTGTGCAGCACCCGTTGTTGCCTTGCCATCCTCCTGCGCCTTACCTTCATTACTAGCAGCTTGGCGCCTTCCGCTTCGAAGGCATCTAGCGATGATAGCAGCCTTTTCTACTTCGCCGGCGCTGCCATTGTTAACAACGTTAACTCCACGCGGCTGCCGGCCTTTAGATGCGCACTGCTTGTCGCGGGCTCGGCCGACCGATGCCATATTAGGAGACCTACTGGATTAAACAAAAAGGTGTGCGAGAAGGGCTAGATTCTATGGTGGCAGATCTAAATTTGGCGGATGCAGTTTCTGCAACCTGCGGAAAGTTATACCTATGAGGTTCACTGAGGGATGAAGAGGTTCTCTCGTTCCATGAAGGGCATAGGATTGAAAGTGATGGTTGGATCTGAAGGCTTTTTTGGTCCGAATGCACAGTTGCATGCCATATGTCGAGCGTGCATGGCATTCCTATCGCGTTGGTGCGCAATGTGTGTAGTGTGCGCGATAAGACGCCCGAGGCAACGCTAGGTTGCCACACCCATCCCCGTTAATGCGAGAACACTTTCATGTCACACCCTGCCACTCACAACAAGAATATGGATACGTGCACAATGATGGCATAATTAGGATGCTTGGTAATTTGCCGTGAGATGGTCGGAAGTGTTACGTTTCCCTAATAAAACATACAGCGTCCGCCCGTAACGAGTATGCGATAATAGCCACCAAACAGGCCTTACGGTATTCTAAGTCAGTGCACCACGCTTTTAGGGTTTGCGGCTGTATCAATGGGCAGAAACGTCTGCGGGGGCTGCAGTAATGCATTTAGAGATGACAAAAGGCTTCAGTCACACTTGGCGAGAAGAGCGGATTGTAGAGTAAAAATCCTAGGTCATGGGAAGGGCCTCCTTACTGAGGCATATCTGGAGGCCCGTCGCGCGTTTCTACACAACCCCCCCCCTTCTCCCGCCTAGACCCCCGCCAGTCCACGTGCAAGTGAGAGCGCCTCACGGAAGAGAGATGCAGTTCCAACGGCCGCAGAGGTAGAGCATAGCGATGCGAACGATCACTCTACATGTAGCGAGCAGAGTACCGATGGAGACATTTTTGACACCCTTACCGCGATATATCTCTTCATTAGAGACGCCGACCTGTCTCGCCGCGAAGTCAACAGACTGTTGCACATTTTCAGAAATCCGAGGTTCAACCTGCGAGCTTTATGGGGCTGGCGCAATTGGCTCGATGTCCGGCGATGGGGAGAAGCAAGGGCCCCGTCGGACATGGTCCCGTGGCTGTGCGAGGAAATAGTAGTCAGAGGGCCGCGTGGGCAAACGCAGAAGCTCCCGCTCCACTACCGGAATACGCAGCTTGTAAGTCGTTGAAGCACAACGCCGTTGCGTTGTCATGTTGTAGCAGCAAACACTAGAACGAATTAATCCCCGCATCTGTCATGTGCATTGCCGCTTCAACAGCTCGTGCAGAAGCTCGTGCGCATCTTTGGTGGAGTCAAAGGGTTCATTACCAGACCGCGGACTGAGGTGGACCCCAAGACAAACGAAAGGATCTACACAGACCCGGCGACTGCTAAATGGCTGGAAGAGGCGCAGGTGTTGGGTGCAAATTCACATTGCACGACATCCTGCCGTCTGTTTGTACGAGTATGCGTGTGCGAATGCATTTGCGTGAGAATGGTATGTTCGTGTGTTTGTTTGCTTTCGCAATTTTCGCTTGAAGCATTTGCAGGTACTCGCGCATTGTGCGCTTCGGCATAACATTGTACACGCTATGAACAGTACAAGCAGAAAGGACGAGCTTGCAAAGGAGCCCACGATGGAAGCTTTGCGGTTCGGCTTACTTGATTGCGCAGATTCAGTTCTATCCAACTCGAAATTGTACTGTTTTGTTTGGTTGACTATAGTGTAGCAGGGCAGGCACTATAGGGGTACAATTTAGGTGAAGGTTGGATGTTGTTTGTCTGTATCTGCATGCTACAGTGCCAGGGGAAACCAGCGGAACCAGCATTTGGCTGGTTGGGCAAAGACAAAACAGGTTCTGTTTTTAGGACCTGAACCTGGTTGTTGTTTTCCCAGGTTGGAAAAACAGAACCAGAGGTTGTTCACCAACCTACCACCTGCTATTTTGTCCAGCCAGGTTGGTTCTGTTGCTTGGAATTATTTGGGATCATCCCTGGTTGTTCCCAGGTCGATTCCCAAGGTCCTTGCTAGCTAGAGCTATTTATTCCTTCTCTGTTTGTACCTGGATATAGTGAAATTGATTCAAGCGAATTCCTCCCTTCCTGGAATTTCGTTTGTACGCGGTGCGACGGCGGAGTGCTACCCGAGTCAACGCTAGTACGCTAGCACTCCAACGCTAGGCTAACGCTCTCCGAGCCATAACTTCGTAATGGCAGAACCTTTCGCGAGGCAACTTGGCTTATTTTAAAGCTCTTAGAGTGAGCTTCGATATAGGAAATTCTCAGCTTACTCCGATCGACGGTCTGCACGATACGCTGCGCGACGTTCAAGGTACTCTTGCTGTTTTGACTAAGTCCCTCTTGATCCCTCTCTCTACAAACTCGGACCCGAGGATAGGGGCTGGTCTTGTACCAGGCACCCAAGGACCCTTGGAGGTGACCCCGAGAAGAGGTTTTAAGTTTGATAAAGTCTTAATAGCTTGAGTTTATTAGGCCCTTATACCAACAAGCTGGTATTAGAGCTGCGTTATAGTGATCCTCCTTATAGGTAGCTATGGAGGGCAACACCTCGGCGGTAGCTGGTGAATCTTCAGCCCAAGATCGTAGCGGCAGCCAAGATTCTGGTGTTTCTGCGCCAAGGGGAGCGCGAACAAGCCAGGGCTCGCTGATCAAGGAGGTGCTGAAAAACTTCACCGTCGAGAAGTTCAATGGTGAGGGCTATGATGATTGGGCCTGGAAAATGCAACTTTATTTCCGTCAGATCGGTTTGCTGAAACTAATGATTGGGGAGGAGCCTAGACCGAGTGACCCCGCCCTTCAGGAAGATTGGGACGAGTGCGCCTCGGCTGGCTACTTTTTGATGTCGCAGAGTTTGGAGCTGAACCAGCGTCACCACGTGCACCTGCTGCCGGAGGTTGAGTGCGGTCCAAAGGCGTGGACTGTGTTGAAGGAGCTGCACGCCCCGACCTCCGTTGTTGCAACATTGATGCTGGAGAGGGAGCTGTCCACGTTGCGCCTGAGGGAGGGAGAGCCGGTGCAACCTGTCCTGGACAAATTGCGCGACCTCTACGCGAAGTTGGCGACCGCGGGAATCACCTACCCGGAGCAGACCAAGTGCCTGAAGATGCTCTCGCTGCTGCCGGAATCGTGGCTTCAATTCATGAGCGGATTGAGCCTGCCGCAGAACCAGAGCTCATTGACACTCGAGTGGGTGCGGACAAAGATTCTGGAGGAGGACTTCCGTCGCCGCCAAGTGAGGGGTGGAGACGACGGCAGCAGCGGATACGGGATGCAAGGGAGCCGACGTGGCAAAGGATGTGGCTTCGGTGGTGCTGGACGCGGTGCAAAGAAAGACGACGACTCCAACGACCAACAAGGAGGTACCGGTTGGGTCGCGGTGCGAAATCTGGACGTGGGGGCAAGTCGGGTGCTGGTGGCAAAATGAAAAGGAGTTGCTGGTATTGTGAGAAGGAAGGGCACCCCTGGTTTTTGTGCTATAAGAAACCCGATGGATGGACCCCCCAGAATCGTCACCAGGATGGCGGCGCGCGGAGGAACCAGAAAAACGGCGCCAACATGGTCGCTGATTCGTCCGACAACAACCCGAAGGGCAACGGCGGTGCGGAGAAGAAGAAGGAGCGCACCGCGGGTCCAATTCTTACATATGGGTGACAAGGGGGAGCAAGGAGACGCATCTGCTAAGGTTGGAGCAGAGCTGCACCCCCTGGACTATTGGGTGTTGGACACAGGCGCTGCTTGGACAATGACGCCGCGCAAGGACCTGCTGGACGACGTACGCGCTGCACCGATTAATCAGGTGTGTTCTGCCTCTGGACACATGTTGACGGTGGCTGGTGCGGGACGAGCTGCGTTTAAGGGAGCGGATGGCAAGCCAGTGGTGCTGCACGACGTTCTCCTCGTCCCCGACCTGAAGGCCAACCTCATCTCCCTCCGTAAGCTTGGCAAGGCTGGGGTGAACACCAACACGGATGGGGCTCGCACTTATAAGGGGAAACTGGGCAATCGGGTGCTTTGGGATCTGCACGAGAGCAAGGACGTATACAGATCTATGTGGCAGCTGCCGGCGCTGGCGTGGCATGGTGGGGGGCAGGCTGGAGAGGGGTCTGCATCCCAGGGGGAGTGCAACGCCGTTGGAGGGGTTGGTGTGAAAGTGTCGGCCAGATCTGGGGAGACGGATTGGGCAACTACACACCGATGTTTGGGGCATGTGGCAATGCCTTTGCTGAAGCAGCTGGAGAAGGATGGAGCCGGTAAGGGCTTGAAGCTGAACGGACAACCACCCGATGATAACTGTGAAATTTGCCTTCTTTCAAAGTTCACCCGTTTCCCCTTCCATAGTGTGGCTGGCAGGAGCAAAAAGCCGTTGGAGCTGGTCCACATGGACTTGGTGGGGCCGCTGCCGGTGCAAGGGCACAAGGGGGAGCGGTATTTCCTAACCATAGTGGATGACTGGAGCAGGCTAATGTGGGCGTATCCACTGAAGCAGAAAGATTACGCCGCCTCTACGATTCGGGACGATTGGCTGCCGTTAGTGGAGAAGCAAGCGGAGTGTGTGGTGAAGCGGATTAGGACAGATCGGGATGGTGAGTTCCTTGGAGCTGAGATGACGGCCTGGCTCAAGAAGCAGGGCATCCAGAGGGAGCTGACCACGGCTTACACCCCACAGTCCAACGGTGTAGCAGAACGGGCGAACCGGACAATTCTGGAGACAGCTAGGGCGCTGCTCATAGAATCTGGGCTGGGCAACTTGATGTGGCCCCATGCTGTTCGGCACGCTACCGTCGCTAGGAACAGGGTACACACAAAGATTGGGGAGGACTCGCGGGTGCCGTTGGAGAGGTGGCTTGGGAGGAAGCCGCCGGTGGACATGCTGATGGTGTTCGGTTGCATGGCAGTCGCCCACGTCCCCAAGACCTACCGCAGTAAGTTGGGGGCGAGTGCAATCTGGTGTGTGCATTTGGGGCTGGTTGCTGAGAGCAAGGGATGGCTGCTGTGGGAGCCTTCCAAGGGT